CTCCAGCCATTATTAGTCTCAAAGTTGGTTCCTCGTCACCGAATTTGAAAACAACCCTACTCTAAACCAACACCCTGGGGTGCCTAGTTTTGTCCAAGTGTGGATAACTCTTGAACTGGCTTCAGGGACAAAAAGGTAAACTGCAGTGTAATGTTTACCTCTTCTAAGTCTTGCAACAGTATCCGGTCATGTGACCTCTTTGTTCTGTACTGTATATATCTATCTATCTATCTGTTTCAATGTAAACCACTTGTACCTGATGATGACAAAACCTTGTCGAAACGTTGTACATTTGCTGTTATGTTAAACTTATATTAAATTTTTCTTCATTACCCATTCAAGCCGTCTCCAAACATTACTAGTCTCAAAGAGGGTTCCTCGTCATCGAATGTAACTTGTACATCAGAAAATGCGCATTATACATATGAACTTAAATTTATATAATAAATTATCACAATACTCATGCATTACGTAAATACATATAAGAAGAATGCGTGTATTAACAAGGATGAACAAATCCAATTTTACTAACAATTCCAAATAAACTGTGGTTTCTCACGCTCGCTGCATTAGTATAAAGTGAAAACGGCAACCATGAAAGATCTTCTTAGACGTCCAGAGGGAATGAGACTTCTGTCATTAAAGTATTGTATGATGTTGCTTGGAAAAGTAAAAGTTGGTAAATCAATAGGGCAACTAGAATACCATTGGTAAAAGAATTCTCCTCTATCTTCTGCGAGGAAGTCAGCCTCTACATCAAGGGCCAATGCCTGGGATTCTCACCTAGTGTTCAAATCATTAACTGAAAATTCCCATCATATAAAAAAGGTAGTACGTCCAAAATAATACCACCATTGTGTTATAGTGATTGTTGTTCATTGTGATCTAGATTAAGATAATTTAAATGCTAAATGATAGAGAATGTTTCAAGAATAGATTTTGGTATAACGAAAATAAAAACAAACGTTTAACGTTATTGCACGTTATACGTTTAGAGCAACAGTTTAATTTTTTTTTGGTAAATCTGATAAGTATTTTAATTGTTCTATTGTTTAGTAAGCTATACTTCGAAATATATTATCTATAAATATAGCTAGAGTATAAGATTGACAAACAACAAAGGGTAAAATGATTCTAGATAAATATATACACTTTAAAGTTTAGAAAATCAAAATCAAACTGAATATCTTTAGTAGTAACACTGATATTATTTAGATAGAGAGGTGTTTGGAAGCTTTATACGAGAATAATAATAAAAATTAGAAAACGTTTCGCTAACTTTTGTTCGCTGGGTGATTACCCATCTTAGATACGCCAATGGTATAGGGTTTTATTTTAGCCTTGAAAGCGAATTGTGATATACATAAATTTGCACTTTAAGTTAAATGGAATAAGTGTTATTTAGAGCACAGAGTAGAAAATGGGTCAGTTAGGTGTTATCAATATAACCCATGTTTAATATGTAGGGTTTATGATGGAAGCTTTACAAATTAAATATAAAGTCCCAAAAGAAAAAACTGGTTACGTTTCAGGTAGAAACTATTCAGCTTAACAATTGTTTTGATTAAGATTGGCTATCTTAAAGCTTTCCAAATTCAATATATGATTCCAAAAGTTTTAAACCATGCCCAATTATATATCTCTTGTTAATATCTTTTATTAATTCACAAATACCTGGGAAATACAATTATTTTCGGACAACGAAAACAATGTGATTCGTACTAGATTGCAGTTGGTAGTGGCTTTGTTTCATTTACTGTCTATTTTTAGTAAAGTACTGTGTACTATCTCGTTTCTACTGAGTTTTGTTTTATCAGAAATCTAGTTTATGTTATCATTTTTGTATCAAATAAACGTTGTTCAAATCTAAAGGAAAGTATGCTGTGTTTCTATTGAAGCATAACTACATCTAGGCGGTAGCGACGCATGGGAAGTAGATGTAACGTGTCCTTCAATAGGGGTTTTGTTATATCTAGGTTCCATTAGAAAGTGGACTTTGTTTTTACCAGGGGTTTTGCCACATCCACATGACAGAAGTGCATTTGAATTTGCTATTCCGTGTCCTTCAAAAGAGATATTTTGGTATTCAAACGCATATTTAGTACCTATTGTTTTCTTTAACTAGTCAGGTGAACAATTAATGGTGAAGATGGTAGTTTATGTGGAAATAATGAGTCACTCCATGACTGGATGTATTCTGCCAGTATGCTCGTGTGTCACGGACAAACTTGGGGTTGTGGAAATCTTAATAATTAGCTATGTATGATGACTCGCTTTTCCAGATAGGAGCATATATTTAACATTTACCTGAACCTAGGGTTTTTTTACCATTCTTACTCTTGATGTCTAGGGCATATAAGATTGGTGTTACCTGAAACTCCATTTCAGAGATGCTGATGACATCGAAAATCCTGGCGAATGAGTTTTAAAGAAGACTTGAGCCATTTCTTGAAGTGCTATAACAGGTGGTTGCTACAAATGGTTGCACTCAAGGATAGACTGTGCAACGCCTGATATTAATGAGTCTGTATATTGCAGGGCTTGCTTAAAAACTTGAGGAAAGAGTAACTTTGCGACTGGATTACGGCTATAGCTGAGTTTTGCTTATATTGTGATCTGGTAGAGAACATGGTATCAGTGAACAGTCTACAGAGAAACTGGATGCTTAGGCAAATAAGTTGTTGCATTTAAACAGGAAAACATATTCCAAAATGAGATCAGTAGACAGTAAGGATATCCTGATAAGTAAATTAATTGAGAAGCTACAAAGAGCGGCAATGTGGCATCACTAATGTGTGTGACACATTTTCACCCTGACATAGGCAATATCTGTGGAGATTAAGTTTGGTGTTGTATCTTTAAAAAAGCTGCAAGAGGGGAAAAAGTTTGAAGTAGCTGTATCTCATCTATATTACCCTCCTGAAGTGCCTGCATCATGCAGATTTTGTATTTAGCCAGAAGTCACAACTAGATGCCAGTGAATGCATGAGTCTTTCCTGGCCCTCCCATGTTGTTTTTGCTGAAGAATATTCTAATGATGATTCGGTCTGGAAAGGAGGACTGAAGCATATGGTTTGGTTGTGAAAAGAGTGACTAAATTATTCATTCCATCTATCTGCTCAGCTAATGCAGGAGGCTCATAAGGAAGATATGGTTGTTGCTGCTACTCCTATTCCAAAAAATAGTGGAGTTGCGTCTGGCCACTGAGTTAGGAGAGCTCAACATTTCAAATGGTTTGGCAGCAAGTCCAGCTCTTACAGGGCTTAGTGGCGTTTTGCTTGTTCCAATAAAGGTACATTGTTAAGAGATGGAGTTCCTGGTTGATATAACAAGTGGATATATAACAAGTTTATTTTCCTTTATCTTAGACTGTTCTTAACTTTAATTCTAATTAAAATTTAAATTATGACGCAATGTGACACAGGGGAATCATAATATTAAAACCAAACAATATCATACATCATGAAACAATGATTGCAAAGATGTGTAACATATAAGTATAAACCACTAATACACATAAACTCCTCAACTTTGCACTACATACAAGTATATACAAAATCACACGAATCCAATTAAATGATCTTTCAACAAAGAAACAAATAT